GTTTAAAATGCCATTTTTAAAGACAACACACTGAGTTGTTACATAAACAATTCTGGCAATGTAGTTGATGATCTAAATGCAGTGTCTTTATAACAAGAATCGTCAGGCAGGTAAAGGTCATAACAAGAACAGACAGAAGCTTGCAGGTAATCCAAATCAGTAGTCGGGGTCACGAGCGACGAGGTCAGTACAGGCAGCAAAAAACATCAAACAATAAACAAGGCAAGGGTCAGGAAACACGGCAAGGCAAGACAGTGAAATGCTTCGTAATGCTACAGAAAATAAACAAGACTAAGCCAAGTGTACGTGTAAAATGCATTTATATTCCTGCTAATCAGTCTGTCATGAGCTTCCAGCTGTGTGTGAGTAATCATGGGGATTCAGGAACTGGTGTGTGTGAGGTGCATGATAGTATTTGTGGTCCAGTTCAGTGGCAGATGTTTAGTTCTCCAGCAATCTGCAACAGCTAAATTGCTGGTGATTGTGACAACAGTTTTGTACAAATTTTTGCAATGTTTTATAAATGTCAAGAAAAATCTTAAACCTTGACTTTTTGCTCTATTGTATTTATGCTTGCTTGCAATTCGTTTCTTATTTATTTATACATGTTTTATAACAAAAACACCCCAATCAATTTAAATTATTATTATTATTTTCAAAATAGAGCTATTCAAGCCATCTGGTGAAATTGTATTCATATCGCAATATATCACAAAAAAGCAAAATATTGCAATGCCAGATTTTACCAATGTCAAGCAGCCCTACTACTGACTTTTATTGTATGAAACATTTTTAAAAACATCTTCCATGTTTCACAGAAAAGTCAGCTTCACATATTTGAAACAAGAAGGCTACTAAATCTAGAAAGATTCTTGAATGAATTATTAAATAAAACAGACAGTCTAATGTCTGTAGCACATGTGCCTGTGCATATAGCGTGCTCACTATTGTTGAACCGCATTTAACTGTGACAGCAGACGAGACATTGAAATATTTACTGTTTGCCTCACGCACATTTTCTCACACTGTCTCAGGGCTTCTCTCGAGCATAACGTTCGGTCAGATCTACCCTCTGTAGGCCGAGAGAATGCGATTTCGAAATACCACATCCCCCGTTGAGGACACTCAAAATGTAGGACGCCCCTCAAGAGACCGAAGACCATAGCATTTCCAGGTTTTCATAGAAAGCATGCACAGACTATGATAAACAATCTTCAGTTTGACAGATTTGTTTTACGCTTTAGTGAACTAAAAAAAATTTGAAAAAAAGTCTGAATTACTAGCCCTTCAGAATTTCAGTAACTGACAATTCATAGTAGCACAAGAAAAAAAGTGATGTAATTGATGCATATTAGGACAACAGACCTGATGTTTTTATTTCAAGCATTACCTGTCACCAGTGATAATGCAAATCAGCACGTTTTTTGTTTCACACAGCTGCTGAAATAGACCAGTGGTTTATTAAATTAGCATTTTCACATTTAAATAGTCATAATAATGATAATCATAAATAATATTATTTTGTCCCAACCAATTGATGCTTCACCAAAAGTTTAACAGATAGCACAAGAACAGCAGAAAGAGTTTGGGTAACTTTGCTGAGTTTGTGAAACTTTAATGACTTCTGTTTGTTCTCCCTAGTCTCTTTCTTTTTTTTTTTTTTTGGTAAAACTACAACAAAGAGGGGGGAAGTATATATTCACATTCACTTTAACATGTTCAATTCAACCAGCAGTAAAATGTAAATAGCTCTTATAGAAATCTCAATATGCATTTGAGGTAAATCAAATAAATGAGACCATTTGAATCAAATACTAGCAAAATTACCATAATTGTGTGAGCATCAGCATAACAAGTAAGCCATGAAAATGTGTTTGTTCTACAAAGTGTGGTTTATTTATAAACTAATTTCAAAAGGATCACAAGCTTATGATTGAACACAGCTGGTCCGAACCAGTCTGCGTTTCTGTACGGAGTTTGCATGTTCTCCCCATTTTTGCATGAGTTTTCCTAGGGTTTTCCGGTTTCCTCCCACTGTCCAAAGACATACACCATAATTAAATTGACTACTTCAAAATAGCATCCTAAGGCAACTTTTAGTCAGCTATATCTTAGCAGTTCACAAGCAGGGGAGTTCTCGAGACCAACTTGAGCTCAAACTCTCCTCTCGCCCTTCAAACTGGAATTTTGTTATATTTTTGACATCAATTGTGGGCCGGATGGAGGATCAGGGCGGGCCTTAAATGGCCCCTAGGCCAGGAGTTTGATATCCCTGCTGTAAACATTTTAAAAAATATTGCATAAAGGGGCAAATAATATTGACCAAAAAATTATTTAAAAAAATTAAATAAAACTGATTTTATTCTAGCCAAAATAAACCAACTAAGACTTTCTCCAGAGGAAAAAAAAAGGAAATATTGTGAAACATTTCTTGCTCTGTTAAACATCATTTGGGAAGTATTTGAGAAAGAAAAAACTGTATTTAATGCAAATGCTCACAGATTACTGGAGTATTTAACTGGCACTGGCATCCTCATACAAGCAAATATGCCAACTTGTGAGCTTATACTTGCAATCTAATTAACCAAGTGCACTATTGTTTTCTGCAGTAGGAAGGCATGGCTACATATGTCTCCTATGATGTCATAGACAAGAAAGGGTTTTACTGTGTGTTTTTTCTACCCTTTTTGCACAAATGCACAACTCTGAATTGGTCCAGACACAAAACGGCACCTCAGAACTAAAAGCCTACTTGCAGCATTCCGGAACTGTTTCCAAGGCGCCTTACAATTGACAACAGATTGAAGGGTTAGTGGGAAAATGAGGCATTTGTGTCTCAGGCTGAATGTAGTAGTGATTGCAGTTAAATGGTTAGGGCAGGCATGAGGGGAACGGGACGCTCAGAGCTCCAGGCAGAACGGCTCGACGCTCCACTCAGCCTGGCTAAAAATGGAAGATGCATGTTCTTTAGTGAGAAAAACTTTTCCCTGAACATCTCATTTGATCCCAAATGAAGAGGTGCATAATGTATAATCTTGTTGTTTAAAGGATTCATTTAGTGCTCATGATAATCTTTTATTTACTGTAAGGCATTTATAAAAGTTACTACTGCTTATGCACAAATGTGAATAAACTGATCTAACTCTGTACTAGGCTTATGATGGCATGGTATCATTATGGTATTATCAACATATAAACCTAAGCAAAAAAAAGTTATTTTAAATAGTATAATTAACACAGAAACACATTTTATTAGGTACACCTTACGAGTAGAGGGTTGCTAGGGTGCCGTAAGTGGTTGTCAGGGTGTGGCTAGTAAGTTGAAAGGTCATCTGTGATTGGCAGATTGGTAGAGTTAAATGAGCCCAGCCTTAAGTCTCTATGACAGTCTGGTGCAAAGTTATGAGGTCACAAAGTTTGGTTTTATATATATATATATATATATAAAATATATATATATATATATCGGCGTTAATGTGCTGTGCTAACGCAAAAATATTTAAAAAATATTGCCGTTAATCTATTGTCAAAGTTGGATTGGGAGCTGGGTCTATTCTACGCAAGCTATGATGACTTTCACCTTGATATTTTAGCGTGGATGTATACCTGAACAGTGAGCCGTCTGTCAAAAAAGTGAATCAAATCAGCAGGATGCCCAAATGGATCTTTCACTTACTTCGAAGACACTACTGACTAGGTTTATATGGACATCTGTAGTCTAGATAATATTATAATTAAGGTGTTTACGTGAAGTGATTTCATGTAAGAGTTTCCTGTAGTTTTAGGTGTTGAAACTGCAGTTCAGCAGTTTTACTTTAACTCATGAACATTTCATTCATGCAAAAACTGGGGTATTACACAAATAAGGTGTAAGGACTGGTGAGAGTGTTATGGAATTTAATAACGAACGTCAATTGGAAAGACAAAACTTCTGCATTTCTTAATACCATTTCTGTTTAGCTTAGCTATGAAAAAAAATCGCTTTGGAGCTTATGTAGGCTTACAGTTCACAATTCATTTTTAACTGAATAAACAGTTAGTAAACACAAATATATCTTATTTAACATCATTTATTTACATCACCAATTATCATAGTAGAACAGTTTCTCAAGCAGTTTGTGATGCATTTTGAAAACAGCAGATGAGCCCCTGGTCTAATGAGCCACCTGGCTTGAGAAACCTGTTCTCAAAGACTTATTATTTGGGTTGCACACATATTCTGAATTCAAATGAGCCATTTTAATCTAGATCAATTCCAAGACTACAGTGAGATTAATTTAGACAAAAAAATAAAATAAATCTATGCTCGCCTAAAACACACACATACACACACATCTAGATGGTATATATGAAATGTGTGCATTATTGTGCAATCTAATATTTCTTATCAGATAAAAAACTTATCATATTTAGCCATGCGCATATGTTTTTCTATGTTGTGCATTTTCAAAATGTATGTATATCTTGCAATTTCTTTGCATTTTTAATGCAATTTTAGTTGTAAATAGTTAAATGGAAAGGGCAGCTCGGTGGCTAAGTGGTTAGTACTGTTGCCTCACAGCAGGAAGGTTGCTGGTTCGAGTCGCAGCTGGGCCAGTTGGCATTTTAGTGTGGAGTTTAGATGTGTTCCCCGTGTTAGTGCGGGTTTCCTCTTGGTGCTCTGGTTTCCCCTACAGTCTAAAGACATGCGGTATAGGTAAATTGTATGACCTAAATTGCCCGTAGTGTATGAGTGCAAGTGTGAATGTGACAGTTTATGGGTGTTTCCCAATGCTGAGTAGCAACTGGATGGGCATCCTCTGTGTAAAACATATTTCGGAATAGTTGGTAGTTCATTCAGCTGTGGCAACCTCTGATAAATAAGGGACTAGGCCAAAGGAAAATAAATGAATAAATGAACAAATGAATGAATGCATGCATGGAAAATGGCTACTGCAACACTAACTCACTAACTCAACCAAATATTACTGCTAATGTGTTCTTTCTCTTGATTCCTCTAGTGGTGAGAGTGGACGGAGCGACTCAGCCTGACTCTCCTCCAGCTCAGGCCTAACCAGCGAGGAAGAGGAAGCTACGTTATCAATATATCAATAGAGAGAGGAAGAAAGTTAGACTGGAGAGGAGAAAGCAAGCAGAATGAGGAGAATGGAGAAGTTAAAGCCATGACGGCCAACCGGCGAGGTACGCCGAGACTTAAGTGACCAAACCTTTGATCCTGTTGAACCCAGCTTGGACAATTCATTGATGAGCAGATTCAACAGCACCAATGGATCCACAGCGATCTTCAGACTCACTGGCCTAAAGTAGCAACATCTAAATAAACATATGCCTATTACTCTGAAGACCATGATGTATACGAGACCCACCACAAACTCTGATGAATGTTTTACACATACTCTCAGATGTAGTAACGTGTCCTTGTGACACAAACTCTGGATGCTTCACTAAAGGAAGTAAAAAGACGTCTATTTAAGGCTTGGTGGATATCTCAAAGTTTAGCAGCCGCACTGTGGTTCCTCAACCTGGACTGATCTAATAAGGATTTAGTTTTTTGCCTTATCTTTGAAGTATTAATACATTTTTTGTCTATAGCATCAAGGCCCTTTATTTAATCTGAATTGTAGCCGTTTTCAGCCCTGCGGGATTGTATGCATTTAACAAGACTATCGGTCACCATCTAGTTTCTCAAAGCGACTGATCAGCGCAGGTCAGTGTTTATAGGCAACAGCAACGCACGACTGTGACATTTGCTGACCTTTGCTAATGTAATGACTCAGATCTATACTTAGCTAGCCGTCTCTTTTCTCTCTTTCACACTCTCTGACAGCTATTTCTCTATAAAAGACACACACACAAAGCGTGTCACATTCCCTGCCTTCCTCTAGTCATCACAGATTAGGTTTCATTGCCTACATGCTCTCGCTTTACCTCTTCGGAAATCTGAGTCACAACGCAAACACAAAACCAGAGCTATTTTCAGGCCGTCATCTTTATGTCCTATCATTAATTCAACCATACTTTTTTTTAATTTCAGGGTTTGATAGAATTGTGTGGAAATTTGGTTCTGAATCAGATTTAAATTAACAGCCAAGTGGCTGGATTCACAAAACTCCATAAGAAAATAAAAGACTTCTTAAATGACATTGAATGAAAAACGTTGGGAATATTTGTGACCTTAGACCACAAAACCACTATGTCAGAAGTGTCAAATTTTTAAAATTGCAATTTATACATCATATAAAAGCTAAACAAATAAGCTTTCCAATAATGCATGTTTTGTTTTGATAGGACAATATTCATCCATTCCGAATGTTATCACTTTGATCAAATGGTCGTTATCAGTGGTTAGCAGCTGATAGGTATGGGCCAGTAGGGGCCTTCTGCACCTACTGGTAGGCTCGTAAGGCTGTTATAATCCATCTACATGGTTAATGAGTTTTGAGTTGCCTTAACTTATTGGGTTTTACAGTACTCAATTTGAGATCTCTTCATTTATTGGGTTTTACTGTGCTCAAACTGCTTCGTTTACTCAAATAGATTTCAAATAAAAGTTTACAGTACTCATTAGGATTAGTTTTTTTACTTAAACCATTTAAGGAAACCAATTGCAGCAAACCATTTAAGTTACCTTAACGCTTTGGGTTTTACAGTGTAGTATTATTAGGGATGTGCAACAATTTCTGAGGTAATAATTAGTCTTGATGTAAACAATTATCTGTCAAGAATATCAAAACTGAAAACTAAGTAATAATTGAATATATTTTAACTTTACCACATGAAATACAGAAACTTACAGTATTTTTTTTAAAGCTGATTTTTGTGAATCCAACCCTTAGGTTCTGTGATAATTACAATAATTATTGTTCTAGTACATTTGAAGAAATCTCATTCACCTCTGAATAAATTGTCTTAACAATTTACTAATCAAGAAATCTAATACAAAACAACATATTGCCTTTTTTGTAATTTAAGTCTTAAAAAGTAATTAACTTATATTGAAGAGATATGAAAGTGACGCAAACAACTTCAGTATCACAAATCTTAAATAAACAAACCAATATTATTAGTTCACTGACAATTCATATTACAGAGTTATCAAATGTGCAGCCAGCACTATGATATCCCATTATACCTTCAACTTCTTTGGATTTAAATCTCATTTCTTAATTCATCGACTCTTATCATAGCTCTTGATGAATCTGTCTGTCTAGGTTTTCCTGGTCTCCACATTTGCTCTTTCTCACTCGTTCTGTCTACATGTTTCATTGCACAAACGCTGATGCAGAATCAAATGCCATAATGTGGTTTGAATTACACAGCCATCTCAGAAGTCATGTGCTGGAACAAGTCATGATCAATGAGAGTTGAACTAAGGACACGACATTGACCTGTACTAAATGGGAAGAAGAAGAAACTATTTTAATATCATAGTATCACCTTCAATGTACAGTAAATAAGTATGGCCTTACCAAGCAACTCAAAAAAGAAAACAGTACTAAAAATAGTCTGCTTCCTGTTTTCAGTCTATCCAGTGGGATATTGCACCCATAAATATGTTTTAGGGACCCAACAGACACACACACATACACACAAAATATCTAATGGATTGTCGTTCGTTGCATTTCTAATGCGCTCGCTGTCAGGCTCTGGAATAAACATGAGCAGCATTAGTGAGACATTCCTGTCAGGCAGGTCGTAATTACCCCTGAAGCTTTCTGTTTCTCTTCCCCACAGTCAGTTCACTCTCACGGGGGGCTCTGTTCTGCTCAGCTTCCCTTGCCTGGAGCTCTGCTTCTCCATTCTGGGAATCACTATCCAACTTTTCTGTTCTCAGCTCCAAATTCCAGTATCGAAGATATTTCTACAAGAAAGTAACTTTTTCTTAAAACAAAATTATCAGTCATTGTGCAAAAATTTAATTAATCACCTTAAAGTGCCCCATTGTGCTTTTTTCAGATTTACTTTACATGCATTTGCAAAGGATGAGGATTATTACTGTTCGTATTTCTCAGCATTAGAACTAGAATTAGTTTCCAACTGCTCTGTAAGCAGTCAACCAATCACAACTTACTGGGTCATCTGACCAATTAAAGCAGAGTAAAATTTCAGAAAGGAGGGGCTTAGAGAATCCTTAAATGAACCATTTCAGACACTGTGAAAGAGCTAAAGCAGCAATCTGTATTTTAAAAAAAGTGCTTTCGACCACAGATGGATGTAAACTTATTTTAGGACAAACTTTCACTATAAATTTACATTATTAGTTATTTTACTTTAAAAAAATCAAGTAAACCTATTGGCTTACAAGCAACAAGTTGACTTAGTCCGCATGGACCAGCTGCGATAGTTTTTTTTTTCCACATTGCGACGCAGTTCCTAGAGAAACAGTATATTAAATGAGAAAACAGTGGGTGTGGCTTGTTTTTTTTTCAATTGCAAGCTGAGTGAATGTAGTACAGTAGGCACTTCAATCAGAAAGATTAAAAAAGACACACCCTGCTTACCATTTCTCTTAGTTGTCATAGTGCTGTCAAAATAGACATTTGGAGGGGCGCGGTTAAGTATGTTGGCCACGCCCAATAGCTTGGACAGAAATAATCTGAGAATTGAACTGAAAACAAACAGAAAGTGCATTTTAAGATGTCAATAGAGTGGAGGAACTACGACATCAATTTGTATGCAAAAACATACAAATTCATACAAATTAGCCACTAAATTAAAAAGTTACGAATTGCCGTGGGATTGCGTTGGGATTATCTGGTTGGACAAAACGTGTAAGTCTAAGGAACAGTGTTTGAACACAGAGCTTATTCTTTGCAATCTTCGAAAAGGCTAAGGGAAAATTCTATAGATTTATGCTAGCAGCCGATTAGCCTACAAGGTGACGTCATCATTCCTCTACTCTATTTAAAAGGCAAACTTTTTTTTTTCTTAATGACATGAGCAGATTAATTGTTCACCACAAATCTAGCAATGTAAGCTGGCAAAATAAAAATGGTTAGTTTTGATTGTATGTGTACTTTAAAGAAAGTGAGTAAATCTGTTGTAACTTGCAACTGTAAAGCAATGGGTTAACACTTATTTTTTTAATAAAAACAAAAGGGACATGGACTATTCTCTGAGGTCCAGTTATGCTATTAAAACTTCAACATAAAGAACACCATCATTTAGAAGTGACTGACTGTTTTCTGTCCTGTTGAATGGGCGTGGCCAATTATAGACTCAGAAATAAACGCCCACTGCTTTAATTGGCTTACAGTTTAGAATAATAACATTGCCAAACAGGGGGGCGACGTGGTGGCGCAGTATGTAGTGCTGTCGCCTCACAGCAAGAAGGTCGCTGGTTGGAGCCTTGGCTGAGTCAGTTGGCATTACTGGGTGGAATTTGCATGTTCTCCCCGTGTCCGCATGGGTTACCTCCAGGAGCTCTGGTTTCCCCCACAAGTCCAAAGACATGCAGTATAGGTTAATTGGGTAAGCTAAACTTGTCTGTAGTGTATGTGTGTGAATGAGTTTGTATGGATGTTTCCCAGTGATGGGTTGCAGCTGGAAGGGCATCCGCTGCGTAAAGGCTGAGGCAACCCCAGATTAATAAAGGGACTAAGCTGAAAAGTAAATGAATGAATGAATTGTCAAACAGGCAGTGACGTAGAAGTAGGTGTGAATCTACTCTGGAGGTGGAGCTTATCCACTCTATCACATCACTAGATCTAGAACCATTCAAAATCGATGGTTATGTCAGACTGCCTTCAATATAAGCTATTTTTAGAGGAACTGCAATGTTTTGAGCTTCAAAACTTACAGGATGTTTTATAGTACTACAAGTCCTCTAATGTCTAAAGACCAAGGGATTTTTGGTTTCTCAGTAAATGACCCCTTTACAATATCACACAAGGGGCACTTTAAACTGCGATGACCAGCTGATAGCTGTATTTAATGTCCTCTATCAGCTACCAGTTTAATATTTTCCAATTAGGACCATTATTCCAGTACTCAGTGCTAGTCTTGGACTGGTTTAAACTATTACACTACAAATTAAGTTCCAACCAGAAGTCATGCATCAGCTTATAGTTTGATATATGAGCAGTTGGAACATCTTTGCCTGTTGTTTTTTTGGCAAGCAGGTCCCTCCATTGGCTTTTATACGGTTTAAGTAGTTTGCATCTCCCCTGGCGCTGCACTTTCCATTAAATCGGGCAGCGAAGCGTATCATTGGCTCCCAGAGTTGCTCGCATGCTAGCATTTAATGCAGATCATGGGTTGAACGTTCACTCACGGGGCAATTCTGCTCTGATATTACTTGAAAAGAACCTGCCGAGATCAAGATAAAATCGCTTGTCTGAATGCACTGAGAGCAGATTGGGTTGTGTTTATCCCATGCCTTTTTTCCTTTATTGCAGAGCAGAGAAGTTGGCAGACATTGTAATGACAGTACAATAGAAATCGGAGTGACTGATGCTTCTCAGGGGGCGGTGGTGTGATGTATAATATTTTGAAAATATGGCTATATTTTCATAGACTGTAAAATTGATTGGTTGTTCTAATAATGTGTTCTGAGAGTATAAGCGTGAGGAAAAGCCATGTGTTTCACATATATTACAGCCATCAGGCGTCGATGCATTAATCAGTGAGCATCTAAAACAACTGAAGTAAACAAGTGGATTGATTCTTTATTCAGGAATGTGCCAAAGTTGCCGTAAATAAAACACCTCCACACTAAAATACCCAGTGTGGATAAAATGGTTATAAATCTCCATTTGTCAGCCAGAAAGTGTGTCAGAGGGAAAAAATTGTCTTATTTTCGATTTCAGCCCTGTCACTTCATATTTTCTCATTTCTACATCAGTAATTCATATTTTTATATATATATAAACTGCATTTTTGTTGTTGTTTTTATATTATTTTAAACAGATTTATTCTTTGAGAGCAGTATTTTCTAGAAACTGTTTACTTTCGTAGCACTTACAACAGATTGAATTTGAACACTCAAAGAGTGTCCATCACCAGAAAGTGCCTGTGGACTGTCAGGTGTCTTTGAGAAATGTTCAACGCGTTTGATTTAATGTGTAATATTTGCTTACTTATGTTACTTGTGTGTTTCATGTTAATTGTTTGTGATTTTTGTTCCTAAACCGTTGGTACTTTTTAATTATGTTGATAAAAATGTTGATGAAGATTAAAAACAGTACATTAATCATTATCCAGGTAAAACACATCCAGGTATTTTTATCTTTCGTGTTTTCGAGAACTGCAAACATGTACTAATTAGTATTATGTGTTGTTATCCAGTTAAAATATCTAGACATTCTTAAAACAAGATTTCAATTCTTACCACTTTTTAATTTTTTTAATGATTTATGTGCATAAACCATATAAATGACATTGGATTTATGGTTCAGATGACTCAAAAAAAAAAATCTATTACTGAAAAATTTCCATATTTTCTGATATTTAGTTGCAATCAGAATTATAGAAACCCCCTTTGAAATTATTTTAGTTTTT